CATTTTCCTCCCTCTCCTACAACTTTTTTGAGCTTGCTTTCTTTCTCAAGCTTTGAAGAGAAAGAGAAAAATATGATCTATGAAATATGCTCACTTATCATTTTTCTATTGCACATTATAAGCTCAATAACTTCCAATGATATATTATGCTATTTTTAAATTATACTTTGTATTTATGTTCTTATATCTAAGCACATAATGTGCCTTTCTAAATTTAAAAGAGCATTTTTTCATAAAAGTTAATCAGTCAAAATTAAATTTTTGATGTGATCAGAAGAGATCAATGTAAATTGTACCCAGATTGACTAATACATCCAAGGCCTGAGATAAAAAAACTATCTTTCTGGATGTCAAATGACACACAGGCTGTCAATGACAGGAATCCAAGATGGAGAGAAAATCAGTGTGTTATGTCACAGTCTAAGACAAATTCAAGCCAAGTTACATGGAAGGTTTTATTGGATATAATTGTCTTTATATATTAATGAAAAACAATAATACCTATCCCAAATTTAATATTAAGGCTAAATATTTAATCTCATAGTTCTTATACAATTCATAAATGTTCATAAACGTCATAAGGCCCCGACTTCTTGATTGAATTACAATCTGTTAGGCAATTTTGAGAACATGTATTAATCTATACAGGTTTATTTTTGTTCAGTTCAAATTGTTATTTTATTGATATGCATCCTTTCTGCCTAAGTGATATTCACCTTATATGTCTGTTAGTTGTTTTCATCTGAAATGCAACGAATTACCTATAACAGTTTTGCATAAGATTAAAAACATTTGCATTATGCATGCTAGATTCAAGGCACAGATATCTAGCAAAGTATTTATAATTGCAAAGCCCAGATGAATCAGGACCTTAAAAGATGCTGAAGGAGGCTGAGTAGAGATGGGGAGAAGGGGTGACTTGTGGAACTCTAAACTTAGTTTCATGATTTCTGAGTGGAAATTATTATATACTATCAAACTCCAAGGAACTAAAAGTATTATTAACTGTAACATAAATTTAGTCAATTCTGATTTCAATTCATGTAATGTTTTAGGGCAATAGTGATACAGATCACTATTCCCTGTGAGACTCT